TTCACACTTTTCAGCTAGGAAATAAATCCAAGTTTTGCTACTAAATTCATCAATGAAGCATAAAATGTACCTCTTGTTGCTATTTGATATCGGTGTAATGGGGCCACAAATATCGGCATGTATCAATTGCAGCCTTCGTGATGCTTTCCACTGACTTTTCTTTGGCATTGCTTCTCGATGCTATTTTCCCATATTGCAGACAGTACATACAGTGTTTGCAGCTTTGAGTTGAAGCAAGCCTTTCACTAGTTGCTTGTACTGTAAGGTTCTAAGGCTTTTGTTATTCAGATGACCATCTCTTCAATGCCACAGGTCACTGATGTTGTTAGCAGCTGCTTGGAAACATGTTGATGACTGAGGTACCACTTTTGCCAACAATACAAACATTTTGTTTGTTGACATTCTTGTTTGCATTGTGAGCCTTCTCCTCGAGTGATAGATCTTACACACTCCTTTTTGTATCAGGATAGTCAACTCCTTTTCTTGCAACTGACCGATGCTAAGTAAGTTGTTTTTCAAATCAAGAATATAGAAGACATCGGTTAACTGTGTTATTCCCTTAACTTCCAGTTTGATGTTTCCTCTTCCCATCACCGGCATCATTGAGTCATCTCCTAGCTTCACTGAGTGCCTGAAATGCTTATCAAAATCAAGAAACCACTGCTTGTTGCCTAACATGTGGTTTGAGCATCCAGAATCAAGGAACCATATTCTTTCTTGGCTTGTGGTATGAAGCTCTACATAGGATATTGGCAGCAGCTCCTCCTTTTCATCCAGCTCAGCATAATTAACCCTGTTGTTCAAGCTAGGACATTCGTATTGGAAATGCCCCAACTTATGACATTTGTAACACTCAATCAAAGCTTTGTTTTCCTCGACCTTGTCCTGCCTCTCTGTGGTCACCCCTTCCTTTGCCTCTTACTTCAATTCTATTCTCAGAGGTGATCTTCAGTGCCTGTTCTTCACTGTGCTGTCCATTCATTATTTGCTCGTGCACCAAGAGGCTGCTTTAAAGCTCATCTATTGTCAATTTGTCGAGGTCATTTGACTCCTTAACTGAACAGACAACATAATTGAACCTCCTCGTCATTGACCGCAAAATCTTCTCTATGATTATCACTTGTTCCATCTTCTTCCCTTGAGCCTTCATCTTGTTCGCAATAGTAAGTGTCCGAGAAAAGTACTCATCCACTTTTTCATTTTCCCTCATCTGTAGCAGCTCGAACTCTCTTCTTAACGCTTGCAGCTGGGCTCTTTTGACCCTTGGTATTTCTGTTTCATGGAGTCCCAAATACTCTTAGCCGTGTCTTTGTTGAGTATTATCTCCATTATAGTCCGGTCAATAGCCTGAAACAAGTAGTTCTTGACTTTGAGGTCTTTCATCTTTTGATCCTCAATCATCTTGCGTTGAGCCTCGTTTGGTTCCACTCCTTCAGCTAGCACGGTGATTCCTTGATCGACAAACCTCCAGTAATCCTTTGAACGAAGAAGGTTCTCCATCAACATCGACCAATGACCATCGAATTTGGGTATGGCCAGCTGAACAAAATTCCCTTCTGCAGCCATAACTCTCTCTCTCTTTTCTGTGCTCTCTCTCTCTCTTTCTTCTCTCACAATCAGGCCCCAGTAGGTGCTCTGATACAAAAAATGTAGAAAAACCAAACTCAAAGCAATAGTTCTATCAAACTGTAGAGAATGATTCTTATTAAAATTGAATATGATCCTGGCTCATATAAAGTCATTACACTGAAGCAGAGTTAAACAGGTGCAGCCCACGATTTACAATCTTAAGATCGTGGTAGATACCTAAAGAAAGGGTCAATACCCTAATTGAATGTAAATAACAGATTTCCTAATAAATAGGAATTATTGACTTAGTAAGAATAAAACAGATCCTAAAAACTCAAACAATAATAGCACAAAGTCCACTTTCTCAACACTGTATGCATCGTCACTTGGCAGCTTCTAAGTATTGGAAAAGAACTGTACAACAACTGCATATATTTGGTAATTAATTCTGTATAATTTTTGGCCCTTGTTGAGGTACCCATCATCTTCTAGTTTCTAGTCATTTCTGTATACAACTCTTATGTCAGTGGTGGTATGAAGGGGGTTTAATTGCCAGATTTTTTTTATTGCAATGTAAATTTGATTATTTTGAGGTCATATATTCTTCGAAAGATAGGATTTGAACCCTTGTGTTGGTCCATAATATCTAACATCTTGCCATGGGCTTGATCATAAAGCGTTATTATGTTGACATGGAATAATTTTTGAAGTGGCTAACTTCAGAAGATCTAACATACTGTAATCCAAAAAGAACAATCAAGTTTCGATTATGACTGCTTTTCCCCAACTGTGTAGGTGATGATATGACTTGCGTGTTTACTTCCAAATAATTTAGTTTAAGTGCCAATTTACATGTTCTGTATGTTACTGGTTGATATTGGTTTGCTTCTGAACCTCTTAAGTGGTTTTTGTACACTTAGCCGAATCCTTCGGTGTAATCTTTATCCTAGATTGTGTTGCATAAGTTGCCAGGCTATGGCATCACTTAATGCTTGTATATAGTTTTTTAATTTGTTTACTTGAATCTCAAATTCCCTTTTCCGAAACTGGTTTTTTTTCCTGTTATGTGGGCATGGTTTATCTGGACAGGCACCTAAAAGTTTACAACTTTTACACCTTACAGGTTCTAACCACTTTGTCATGCACCACATTGTCAATTCTCAACTATTGGCCATCTTATCAATGTTTCCACTATTGCATTATTTCAAGGTGCTTATAAATCGCAATTGGAAATGTAATAGAAAATGTTCTGTTTAAAAGACAGGACAATTCTAGTGGGTGGTTGATGGGTCCTCTCTCTCTCTCTCTCTCTCTCTGTGGGTGCTTATGTAGATATTTATATAATATTTTTTATATCTAATACAATATATTACTCAATGTACAACCTTTTATACTATTAGACATTCAAATGATAAATTTGATTTTAAATTTTAGTGTATATTGGACTTATAAAATAAATGGTAATATGAAATTATAATTTTTTATTATGATAAAATTATATTTTTTAACGGTTATATTAATATACATCAACAAAAAAGGGTTATGTGTTACACGTGCACAAACGCTATGAGATGTGAGAGTAATATATTAAGCGTGAAGGGGTCTAAATGATTAAGTGACAAGCATAAGATGATCTAGATATAATTTATCAATTTAGTTTTAGACGTAAATTGATACAAATTTTTATCTTTGAAAAAGTAAATTAAGATTTTTTATTTTTGGGGATGAACATTGATATATATTTCTATTTTTGAGGGTATAAATTAATATTCAAATGATTTTTTAGGGTGCAATTTACAATTATTTTGCCTGCCGCATTGTTTGGTTTACATTCTAATCTATTAGGAGTTGTGATCCAATATAGGGACGTGAATTGGGATTTAAAAAGTTAGTATTAGGTCTCACTCCACCATTAAATTGGGTCTGTTGTCAATTCAAAGTTATTAATATATTAAAATATGGGTTTCAATTGTTTTGCCTTGCCAGTTTGTATGTAGTAATTGTGTGATTCAACCCAAATTTATTCAGGACAGCAGGTTGTAGTTTAGTTTTCTCACGCGCTCTGAATAGTTTTAGCAATTTTGTTTTCTTTTTGCGTAAACAATTGATGTAGCAATAAAATTAGTGAGGATATCTGATCTATTTGTTTGCCCCTCTCTCGTTGAATACTCGCATAGCATGAAGATAGTCAATAGTGTTTGACTGCATAGCATTTTGCGTATAGTCTTCTTTCCAAATTCCAATGCGAAATTTGTCACAATAACATAAAAAAATTGTGTGATCAGAGTTTAATTGTATAATTTATATGAACTAGTTATTGTTTGTATCCGAAGGCACAAGATAATAAAAAATAAAAAATAAAAAATAAATTTATATTTATATCTAAAATTAAATTACAAACATAAAAAAAAGATAAAAAAATTTAAATATTAGTTTATAGTGGGGGTGAGAGGTAGTGAGCAACAGTGGTGGTGATAAGAGATGATGATAGTTGTGGTAAGTGACAATAATCGTGATGGCAATGAGAGTGGTGGTGGTGGAGGTAGTGGTGAGACGATTTTAAAGACTATTTTTTTTAAAGTATTTATAAGAAATAATTTATAGAAGTAATTTTAAAAAGTCACTTTAAACACACTTTTAGAGGTTTATTTTTCTTATTAAATTTAAGATGTTAATATTAGCAGTTAGATTAACTTTAAAGTAAAATTTAAAACGATTTTAATTGTAAATAGTAAAAATTATTGTGTTTATCTTTTGAAATTTGAATTATAAGTTATTTTATTATATACATTATGAGATTATGTTAAAAGTTGGGGCTCTTCATACCAAAAAAATATTCATTCTCACCCCCTTTAAGTTTTCTAGTGTCAAACTTCTAAATTCGTTTCTTTCTATTCTCATTCCATATTTTCCTATCCCAAGGGTTTCTCTTCCTATTCAATCTCCCCCTTGCCTTAAACCCAAGAAGACTTGTGTAAAATGTTCTGATTTGATCTTAATCAAACTTTTTTTTTTTTGGTTTAGTAATCTCTTGAGATTAGATCGTAAAGAATATTTTTTATGAATACTCTTAATTTTGATATAAATGATTTATATTTGATCAGATTTAAAAGGAGATTAATTGATTTTATCTGAAAAATGATTAATTCAAAAATGCATAAATAAATTAGTTTAGATTAAACCAAAAATTATAGAACACAACTGATTGCCAATCCTCGGTCTTTACCATCCTCAAGCTGTCAGACTCACGAGTCAAAGTAATTGCCGTATAGAATCAAAACTTGGAATTTGTAACAGAACCAAACTCACGTGACGTATTTAACTGTAACACTAACTTTATTCGTCAAGGCCCCACACCGTCGGTGGTGGTGTAAATGGTACCGGGTCCCATGTCATGTGGTGGCTCGCGATGTACGCAATCATCTCCTTCGATAACCAACAAACTACCCAAAAGAGCCCATTAATCTCTCTCTCTCTCTCTCTCTCTGGTAATACCCATAATAAATAGAGATTTCCATCAAACTCAAACTCTCAGAAGTAGGAGTGAAATTGGCTGAAGTAGGAATGAAGGACGAAGAGGCACAAACAACCACCACCGCCATTGCTAAGAGAGAAGGTTCAGAGGGTGGTAGTGTATTGGGTAGAGGGAAGTACAAGTTCGGGGCCTTGGCTGCGATTCTTTTACTCGCATTCTGGTCTATGTTCACCGGCTCCGTCACTCTTAAATGGTCCGCCGGTCACCTCAACTCTATCCCCGATGATTTCGACTCTCCGGTCCACAACGACCTCGACGTTCTGGTTCGCACTTATCCCTGAAGTTTTTATGCTTTTTCCTCTAGTTTTGCGAGTTTTTTTTTTTTGGTATTATCGTTATTTACTTATTTTACTTGTTCCTTTTCTTTATGGAGTGGGTTCTAAGTGATTTTTTCAGTTTTTCATTATTTGTATAAAGAGCGTGATTAATTCGTATATATATATTTTTTTGGTGAAACACACCCTCAATTGAAAACATTTTGTTGTAAGACGTGAATTTAATTCATATAAAAACTGAAGATTGATAAATGAATTTGGAAATAGATTTTGGGTTTGTAGAATTTGGTAAGATGGAGAAAAGTTTGGAAATAGATTCGTAGTTTTGCTCTGTCTGAATTCTGGGTCATTGTGTTGTTCTTGATTTTGGGTTTGTAGGAAGTAGAAGATAAAGAGAAATTGGTGAGGCAAAATTGGAATGTGTACACTCACAGTACTACTATTCGGCTGCCCAGGTTCTGGCAAGAAGCTTTCGAAGCTGCTTACGAGGACTTGACCAGTGATGTTCCAAGTGTTCGAAACGCTGCCTTTTCTGAGATTGCCAAGATGTCCCTGCGCCGGTCCATCAGTCTCGAACCGCCTCCTGTTCAATCAACTGTTAGGTAAATACTAAACACCTCCATCAGGTTCTGCTCTTTTTCTTTCTACTGATTTAGTATCTCTAACTTACTTGATTTTTGGTATATCTCATCTTATTGATTGTTATTGGCTTTAACTGGATTGAACTTGGATGGTGTAGTAATTTAAATTAAACCTGACATGTAGTCTTTTTTCTGAGATTTATGGTTTTAGGCTTTATAATAATGATGTTATTCCTTAGTTAAATCCCCACACAGTGTAAAACCTGCGTTTAATTGGTGCGCTTGGTTTGTGAGGTGGGATGATTTGGATTTAAGGTTCCCATTGTAATCATGAGTACAGAGTACAGATTATCCCGATTCTGAATTTTTTGACATCCCTAGTTTTTGTTTGAAGTGGTGCTTGGCATAGTGACAAAGATGAGACTATGAAACCATTTGGAAATCATAAGCTGCTGCTGAAACAGTCGAAGTTATGAGCTTGATTTTGTAGTTGTACAACATAAAATCAATCCCCAGCAGGGTAGTACTGGCATGTGGAAGAATATGTGGGACTATGTTCAGCATTTATAGGGCATTTGAGAAAAAAAAAATTAAAAAGTATACATTCTTGTAAGCACTGTATTTTCCTCTTCCTGATCTTGCTTCATTTCATGGTACATTGGTGTTGGGTGCAGAATGCCTTTAAGCCTGTTGGTATCTCTCACCCAACAAAAATGAAAAGAAAAGAAAGCTTTGCTTATGCAGTTGATTCCTTGACCTTTTTCAAACATTCTTCTCTGGTTGTTCTTTATTTTCTGGATCCTTAGCCTTAACTATTCCCAATGAGATTCGGGTTCCATGTCGCCTTAAATTAATATAGCATATAGATTTCTAATTGTTTCATTTCCTTAGTGGTTGTATAATCTCCTCTAGGGTTTTATGAATGTCATAGATGACAACAATCTGTTGTATATTGCTGCTATTTTCATTTATTTGGACTTCATACAATGCTATTCAAGTTGATAGAAAGATTCACCACAGATAAAATCAAGTACGGTCATCTAGCTAGATCTCTATATTACCATTGAAAACGTGAGGCTTTTTGTGATGCTCGGATCCCTTGTTGGGGTTGAGGAACCTCTCCGTAGACCAGTTTTGGTTTCATCCAAATTGTTACACTCTCATCAAGATATGATCTGCCTAGTTCCATCCCATTTGTTAGGTTCAACTAAATGTTTTGTGGTTCAAGATGTGGCAACAATCCTTAACACAAACGATATGGGTTTGATAAAAAAATCTAGATGTTTGATTAATCGAGTATCAGTGTCTCCTTATGACCCTTGTGTTATTCAGGGATTCTTTATATAGATGTACATTTGTAACTTCACCTTTTTTTAGGGAATTTACAGGTACTTTTACTAAGATGAAACTATAATTTTATAATAATGTCTGCTAATGAAGTGTTGCCTAGTTAAAGTATGTTGGATCTCAAATGACGAGGAAGACTGACTTCTAACAAAATTTTGGTCATTGTACTTTTGCTATCCAGATCAACGGAGAAAAAAGTAAGACTTTCGAGGAGGCTGGGGAAGACAAGGCTACGGCGGTAACTACAATCCAGGTTGACCGTTGTAGTGGTGATAAAAATGAAAATGCAGTCCTATATTTCTACATAACACTGTCTGCTCGTGAAGATTATCCATATCCTGCCCTTATCCGAAGATGGCAAAGGGAAGGAGTATACGGTCTCTTTAATAATAGCATACATGTTTTGTTCTTCTTTCTCATATGTAAAAGCATACAGTTGAGAAACTGTGGGTTAAATGCACTCAATTCTTCAACTTTATGATTGCTATAATACGGATACGTTTGCGGTTTGCTTAACTCGATGATCAGATGTTACTGGCTTGATGTTGGACTACTACTCCTTTGAAAATTGAATGGCGGCTGTAGTTATTAGTACACTCTAATTATGATAATGCCATCTTCCCCCAAAAAAATATATTAAAAATATATTTTTTTAATTCATCCAGAAACACATAAGATTTTGATTTCGGCCCGCACCCAGATGATGTTTCCATCGAGCTAAATCTACCCAGCTGTCTGCTTGGTCCAAATACTTTCCCTTGTATTATTTTCACATACTGCCCCACCCAGATGATGTTTTCTGCCACTTTTTTTTTTTTTCCACATATTGTTTGATTTACACGTCACTTGATGATTTATAACCAAGTTACTCAAATTTCTGCACTTAACTATTTCACAGTAAAGAGAACCCTCTCAAATAGAACCAAAATGTCTTATATTCTGTATTTTTCATTCCGTTGGGAATTTCATTCAGACCTGTGCTCGGCTCACATCTACTCGTCCCGTAACTCAGACTCGTTTCCTTGAACATCACATAGAGAGCCCAGTGGTTGGACCTGTTTTTTGGTAATTTAAAGTCTAAATTTTTGGTAAAAAATAGACTTCATGACAAATAAAGATGTCAATTGTAAAAGAACCAACTTTTGTCAAAAGAGAAGAGTGATCTCACACCTCCCTTTCAATAGGTGCTCCGTGTCTCTGTGGGTCTTTCTCAATGATTCCTTTACTCGTACAATAGAGATGTGGTAGTTATACTGCTCGTAATACAGATACATGGTAACAATGATCCTTGTTGAATATTTTTTTAAAAAATGACAAACAAATTAGAAAGCAAAAAAGTTCATCTACCATGCCGTGACATGGTATGGAATAGTGGCGGAGAATTTATATTCCAATCAGGTGCAAACTGCAAAGATCAAAATACTCAACGCATGGCCAAAAAGTCCGATTTCATATCAATAATGTGCTAATTTAATGGTAAATCAGAGGTGACCTTGATTAGGTATCAAACACTTTCTTAGGTGTCCCTATAACCAAAATAACAAGGACTCTTCGGTTAAAAGTGTTCCTTAACAAAATTGATTGAGCAGAGTAATAGCGCTGCTGCTACTGTCGCTCTATAGAGGAACAAAGATCCTAAGTTAAAAAAACATTTATAAACAGTTCTTTGGACAAATGTATGTACAAACTACCTTAAACCTGGCTGGCTAGTCTTCAACAGTCTGAATCTCTCCCATCATGATCCGGTTGCTAACGACATTAAAACCCAAAGCTGCAGGACTAACCTTCTTCCCTTTCTTTCCCTTCTTCTTCCCTCCTTTCCCGGACCCATTAAAATTACCTTGCTCGGAGCCCCCAACATCAACATTGTCGGAAGTCACATCTCCACCACTGAATCCAGTCAGCTTCTGATCATTCTGGCTTTGGAGGGCAATCTCAAGGACATCATTGGGTAGAAAGTCTTTGTAGTTGAGGAACTTTTCAATGAACTCATGATCAGGATCAAATGGCCCAAGGTTCTCTGTAAGAATCATCTCAGCCTCTGATCTGGATTGCTTTAAACAGAAGTCCAGGAAACTTGTATCTATTACCAACAGGAAAAACATACATAGCCTCAGACAGAAGCCAAATAATCATATCTTAGGCTAAAAACAAAACACGAGAATTAGAAAATTATTTAACCTTTCTGAACCTGCTTCTTAATATCCAATTACAGATGGAACAAGAAAGAGTAACAGACCAAGTAATTAGCCATGCCCAAATATCTTTTTTATTTTCATCTTCAGCAAAAGACAAGCCAAACACTGACTATCCCATACCAAATAACTGGTTTGTTTCATTCAATGGCCATGAGACACTATTGATTACAAAATTCAAGGAAAAAGAAACCATGTGGCACTGAAATTGATACCTTTTGTCCCAATGAGCCTGACGCATTCACTCTCGCACCAGTCTCTGAAGTCCATAGCTTCTGGAATGGTAGGATAAACAGGTCAATCTAACCCTTTATTAAAACAAAAAAGAAGTAACCAAACTTAAAATGCCTTACCTGAATGCTTAGTCAAGGCATCCTTTTTTCCCTTTAGAGATGAGTGAACAGAGGCAGGCGAAGAAGAAAGGGAATGCTCAGCAGGTCTGCCACCGACAGACTTCTGTCGGCTCAAGGATGCTCCTGGAATCGCCTTTGCATGGGTGTTTTTGGTTCCCCAACTGTTTTGGTTTATGAGCTGAGGAAAATCTGACCTGCAGGCAGAATGAATGGCGTCTTAGATTTGACTCAGTTATATAACCGAACAGAAATGCCACTAACCAAAACTAACAATTGCCAAAACTAATAATTGCTCTGTTTCGTTTTTAATTTCACCATTCCCTCTTTTTTCTTACAGATACAATAGCTGGTCCTAGACAAATTTCTTAATTTGTCCTTCTAGTTGGGGGTGGACATGGTCAGGTTGGGTAAATTATGTATCTCACCATGCTTGGACCAAATTACACCCCCTTGCCAGAGGTTTCCCAGGAAAACCGAAGGGAGGTACCCATGCTTGAGCGATGGACATTCATCGGCTTCTTGGGTTGCCTAAATTCGGTCAATAGACTAAAATGCTATCTCTCCTTGTTGCTTTTCAGGACACGAAGTGAAGTTGTGTGCAATCTCTCCTTGTTGCTTTTCAGGACATTATATATCCTACCGCTAAAGGCTTTAGGGTTAAACCTATAATCTAACCCTCCATCTATACTTTAACATCAAGTTAATATAAAGGCGGTGATGGTACATGCGCATCACAAATGTGATAGAGAAGAAAAACCCATCACAATTTTAAACAATACTTCAATACGAAAAAATCTACAGTATATGTTCATCAGGTTGCATACGACTAAGCATACTTGCTGAGATTTGAACTTGGAGCAAAAAAATTTTGGCATGAATGTACAAATTGTCAAATCTTTGTCCGAGTCTGGTGAAATCCCAAAGTTCGTAAAGTTCATCCTTTGTCAAATCTTCTCAGCCGTGTTTGTTCAAATTGCATCCAAACCAAGTCTGTAGTCCTTATGATAGTAAGACAAGTCTTTACCTGATAAATACAATGTACTCACATTGTTACTATAAGAGGATTTCATCGGACATAATTTTATGTTTATATGATGTTTTCTAACCCTTGGGAAGGTGGCTCTTCTCACTCTTCTTATTCTCCTTCTCGTTTAATCTTCTTCTGCAATTCCATACAAATAAGCACCACATCCACACACAAATCACCTTTTTTTCACCACTATCCCATAAACCCCAACCTTTCACTCTAACAGAAAAATAAAACAAAATTACTGCTCATGTCATTGTTCACTGCCTTGACCAGTACCTTACATTCTATGCTCATATTCAACCTCAAATTCCTGACACCTCAAAAAAGCAAATAACAATACTAACAATATTGTTAATGTTAACCTAATGCATACTAACTCAGAGAGTACATGTGATAAAGTCTCTAATAGGGTGGTATTTAGAAAAGAAAAAAATTACAATGGATGTATTCATACAATTAAACAAATGTACAAAAATGCAATAAATTCAATGAGAACAACTGGAAGGGAGAATAGTTGATTCCCAATCACTGTATACTTTTATCAAGATTCTGCTTTAAGTTTGTACCTTTTGACCTTAGTTATGGATGAATTAACTAGACACGTCTGGAATGAGATTTCAAAGAGGAAATTATTTATTGATGATGGAGTATTAGTTGATAAAAGTAACTCGGGAATTAACAACAAAGTATATAAGTAGAACCAAATATTTGGAATGTAATTTTTAACAGAAATAAAAATCATCATGGGTTTATTAAAGACTAGAGACCAGAAGATACTGAAGTGTAAACACTTTCAATATCTAGGATCAACTGAGATTAGAGATGATGTTCCTCAAAGAATGAAAACATCATGAACTAAGTAAAGAAGTCCATCTTAAGTTGAAAGAGTACAAAAAAGTCATAAGACATGTTTTATGGTACTAAATGCTAGATAGTTAAGAAGCAACACACTCACATATAATGCGTGATGAACAAGGTGTCAAATTGGATGTGTGGAAACCCAAAATTGATGGGATTAGAAGTTTGTGTGCTCATAAAAAGTAGAAGATGACTGTGGTTAATAGAAAATAATGCCATTCTAAACCCAAATTATTGGTCAAATGTTTTGCTCAGTAGATCATATGGATGTTTGGAAAACCAACAATCAGCATTCAGTAGTGTGCTCATAGAATGTAGAAGAGAACCATCAGCATTCAGTATGGTAACGCATGTCCACTCTTATGACTCTGATTTAATAGAATTATAGAAAAATGGTAAACTGTTTCCATTGGAGCAGTTAGAGTTTGTGAATTGCCTTCTCCCAGTCATGATGAAGATTGTCACCGAAAAAGCAATTAAGCCTTAAGTTTGTAATCTCTTTCACTCAAGTGTATATCTGAGTTTGTTTGCGCATGTATTTTAATTTGTGCCTGAAAACTATTGACAGACAAACTGGGGGTAAATCTAATGCATATGGGAGCTGTGAACTCGCAACTGGAGGAAATCTGTGGAAGGGTGGTGAAGGAGTCCCAATACTAACCTATAGGAATCATTTGGCTATTTCTGAAGACTAGAAATTTTTTTATCAGACTTCCACTTTTGCATCAACTGTTTTTATATTGAATTTTTAGGGACTGTTTGTTTGGTGTTTTTGTTTTCAATTTTTGTCAAAAATGAAAACAAAATCGTGTTCCAGGAAACACCCAAAACACAAAACACGCGTTTTGGAAGACGAGGCATTTTAATGAGGTCTCAGCTTCGACTCTTGTTAGCCACAAAAGACCAAAGAATTTGATGAACTATAAATACGGGGACTGTATGGTCTTTTTTATTTTCGTTCTCACAAAACGCTCTCTCTCTCTCTGTGAACGACTCTCTTCTCCTCTCTCTCTCATCGCTGCCTCTCCCTCTATCTCTGTCGCTGCCTCACTCTCTATTGTGTTCTCTGTGCTCCTTGTGGAAGACAAAGGAGCTTGTGTTCTCTATGCTCTCTTTCTCTAGATGATGCTCTCTGTGGAACCCACAAGACGAAGCTCTCTGTGTATATATGCACAGATCTGTGCGAGTGTGTTGTGTTTAGTCTTTGTGTGTGTGTGAGTGATGAGTCTATGTGTGTGTGTGTGTGTGTGTTTGTTGTGTTCATTCTCTGTGTGTGTGTATTGTGTTCTCCGTGTGTGTTGTGTTCGGGATTGATTGTCATTTGATATTAACTGAATTGTTATTTGGAATTGTTGAATTGATATTTAGGATTGATTAAATTGTCATTTGGAATTGAATAGCCATTTGAGATTGATTGAATTGTCATTTGGAATTGTTAACCATATCATTAATTTATCAAATTAATTAAATTTGTTAAGTCTCAATATCATTGTTGAAAGAAAAAACAAGAGACTTAAGGATATAACTTGAAGTAGTTACCAAATATGTTTTTTGTTTTTATTCTCATAATTTGATAGACACAAATGACTCCCAAACATGTTTTCTGTTTCGGTGTTTACCAAAAAACAAAGACAAAAATTATCTCTGTTTTTTATTTTTTTGAAGACGCGAAAACAAAAGCGTTACCAAACGACCCCTTAATTCTTTTGTAGTCTACATTAGGTGGTCTAAACAGATTAACAAATGATTTATTCACATGGCCAAAATCAGTTCTACCAATCTATTTGTTAGGGGGGCGATGAAGGGGCTGGGGTGTGTGGAAATCAAGTTGGGGGTGAAAGGGAGGATTGCAGCATGGGTTGTGAAGGTTGGGGACTATATGCTTACATGGTATGGTGAGTTATTAGTGTAGTGCCTGGTGAAGAATTTACTGGATTCCTGCTATTTGTTTTGGGGGTCTAAACTTCAGTGGCAAACAAATTTTAAGTGTAATGTCTGATACTTCATTGGCCTCTAATATATTTTCATGTGATTATGTTGTTTAGGTACTGTCAATTATGATAGATGACAAACAGGTGATCTAATTAATTTTTTCCCCAGCTCTTTTTTTATACAAGTTCAGTGCATCGCACGGTTTATCACTAGTAACGATAGAGAAAAGATTGTAGCAGTTCACAGCAATAAGCAGTAGGCATAACAAGACACCAAGAGAGACAGAATTTAAGAAAGATGAAGGGTCATACTGTTTTGCCTCTTGCTTTGGTTGATCTAATGGACCCCAGAATAATTCGTCATCTACTCTTTGTTTTGACTGAAAAGCAGCTTGGGAATTAATCTGGATGGGTGATGCAGCCTTAGCCGGAGATGATCCAGAAAAAGACCACGAAGGACCACTTCCACGGGAAGCCTGAGTTGGCAGGGATTTCTGAGGGCTTGGAACTGGAATTTGATGCTGGCCTGGAGAAACCCTTTTCTGCTGTTCCTTTAAGATGTCTCGCAACGATGTGGGTTTCGGAAGCTTCCCAGAGTCATTAGACCACGCTGGAGCAGGGGAAAGGTTTGAGGACTCCCCCTTCCAAACAACAAAATCTCCTAAAGAAGGACCAGAGGGGACTGCAGGCAATACTTCTTTCTCCTGCAGTATTTGCCGTGAACTTTTAACTTTCTCAATAGGATTTGATCCAACCGACACATCAGCTGAAGCTATGGGCGCTGAGACCTTAGATCCCGCAACCTTAGCTTTTGCAGACTTTTTACGATTCTTTCTGGTATCTTTGGCCTCAATAAAGTCGTCATCAACACTATCAGACACTGAGCTCATAACTGGTATGTGAGGTGAAGTAGAATCACTCACAGGAATCTCTGCCTCTCTTTCAGTAGACTTCACCAAAGCTTCTTCTGCCAAAAGATCATGTAATTGGCTCTTCTTGCCGTTTTGTTTCAGAGAACTCTCAGATTTACCCAAGTTTAACTCGATTGTACCAGTATCCTGCTGGATTTCTCTAAATGATTTTTGATTGGAATTGGCAGCAACATCAGACCATGCAGTAGAAAACCCCATGGGGCCAAGAGATGTGGAGATCTCAGAATCTGTTATTTCTGCCTCAGCCTTCCTCTGCTCTTCCTGTTGTATTTCCAGCAATGACTTCGGCTTGAAACCAGGAGCAGGCTTCCAAGCTCGTTGCAGTTGCACATTAAGCTGTGAGACAGACCCAACCTGTTTTGATTCACCCTTAGTCCCCACAATTTCACCTTCATCTCTAGGCATGTAAGCGGGCAATGAGCCCTTCCCTTCTTGAGAATCCACATTCTCAAAGCTATCTATATCCTGTTTTTGCTCTCTTGTTTCTTGCTGAGCTGCTCCATACAGTATGTCTCCTGGAACCATGTGTGCCTTCGATTTTATGTCCACAAGATGTGTCCATTCGGTTGCAGATTCCTTTGACTGTTTCATTTTAGATACTTCCTTTGCCTGATCAGCAGATTGTGCCTTAGCCTTCTGCTTTCTTGACTTCTTTTCAGAAGCTTTTCTAACCTCACGCGATTCAACATTTTTTACTTCCTTGACCATCGAGGGTTCATCAATGCAATGTTCTTTTTCAACTAGGGATTCGTCCACCGCTCCAGCTGATGGGACAACAAAATCATTTACCTGTTCAGGCATCAAAACCTGATTCTCACCAGTTCCCACATATGGCAGGTAATCAGAAGTCGACAATTGCACAGAAGCTTCAGAGATGGTAATCATCACAGGCTCATTTGTCGTCAAATTTTTCTGTAATGTCTGCTCCTGTGACAATTTGTCCACTACTTTTGACTGGGGTGAGGTGTCCATCGCAGCTGATGCCAGCAGTGAACCCTTCTGCTTAGTGTCATCAATTTGCTCCAGCAGAGCGTCACCCCAACCCTCTTGACGGATTTTATTACTAAACATTTGATGAGGCAAATGTATGGAAGGGGTTTCAGAGCCAACACAATGGCTAACATCCTCAGAAACACTTGGTGGAAATTTTACTGTAACATATTCATCCTGAATATTAGGACCTTGCATCTGTGAACCAATCTGAAACAACTCATGGGACTGCTGAAATCGAGGATGGTCAAGAGATACATTTCCTGTCGGTAAACCAGCAGGTTGTAACTGTCCATAAGATACCTCACTAAAGCGCTGCTGGGATTGATGCTCTGACAGCACCTGAGAAAGCAGTTGTTGCTGCTGCCGCAATAACTGCTGCTGCTCCTCCTGTTTCTGCTGTTGCTTAAGCAACAATAGCTTATCCAAGATTGACAGCTGCTGTGATGGAACTGGAGACTGAGAAGGTAACTGCCGCGAATATTGCTGTTGCAACAAACTTAATAGTTGTGGATCTTGTGAAAGACCAGAAGAAAGTAGCTTTTCAGGGGTTAATATGCTAGAAGAATTATCGATAGCTTGAGCTAGTAAATTTGCTAAAGGGGGTTGATTCTGCGGTTGCAGCCTCTGTTGTTGGATCCCATATGTAGCTTGTGGAGGGAAATTCTGGCCATGAAGAGTGTCCAACTTGTCCTTAATTGGGTCCAGCCCACCTTGGCCTGAGAAATTTGACCAACCACTAACTCCATTGTTGATACCAGAAGTAGGCCTCTCAGGTAAGCCTGGACCGATTGACATCAAGTCCATGTTCTGAGAATGAGGTTGCTGAAGAGGATGGTCTGACATTGAGAAGGAGAATTTTGGATGTGGCAATGGGGAGTCATGGACAATCTCTGAGTTTGGAACAATAGAGGTTGCATCCCTTCCAGGCCAATGTGCATAGGGATTCGGGAAGGAACTCTGCCTCTCAAATGTTATCCTCTTGGCCAGAAGGTGTAGGTTGTCCCCACTTTCGGCTCCCAAAGGAGGCCTAACACTAGTGTTATTTCCAAAATATCCCTGCACACCTGCAAAGGAATACAAAATTGTTTTTAAAAAACACATCACACAAGGTGACACCAGATAATTATATTGACCTAATCACTGACAATTAAAAGGAAACATAGCTAGGCTAGAAAAATTTTAACACAACTTCAAAACAAAACAAGAATCTTCTACGAAAAGGGAAAAACCAACCTTCAGATGGAGCAAACTTCTCAAGAGGTGTACTGCTCATATTAGCAGACATCAGAGACTCCAAGAACCTGTTCTCGGCCTCCTTTGTTGAGCTATGTTTATACCTTGGTTCATTCTTTATCATATCAGTCTCACTTGAACCAGTGTTAAGCTTACCAAAGCTGCCGGGGTTCAACCGACTTAATGCATCTGTAACTTCATTCTGTTTCGGCGCACCAAAACCAGGTGGTGGTCGGGCTTTTGCGCGCAAGTGGGGCATAACATCACCAAGTAATGAAAATGGTGAGTCATGTGGTGCGTTTGCTAGACGTACTTGCAAGTCTATGCCAAAGTATCCAGCTTCAAACCATCCAATAACATCAATTCCAGCAAAAGGCCCCTGAACTTCACCCTGTGGATCTCTATAATAAAGAAGTAGATCTTCTGGAGAAGGTTGAGGAAGTGTCCTGGTTTCTTGCTCCCTATCCAGGACTACAGATGGTTGCCTTTTAACAATTCGTTCATTACCTATTTTCCCTTTAGGTCCATCTTTGGAATAAGATGGATCTGACAAACTACCTTCCCACTCATTATTCATATCCTTCTGAGACTGTGACCAGCTAATGTCCGAGGTTCTTGACCTGACGTCATTAGGAATATCTCGCCAATCATATGGGGCATGTTCTGCCATTGGTGTGGAATGCCAGGCATCACCAGCATGAAAAGAGGAATTTCTTAGCATACTTGCCTCCCTCTCGATAGGCACCGGATCATTCCTCTGATAAGCACCATCTTCTGTCGAAGCTGAATGCAGAACAATGTAGTAAAAAAATACATTCCCAAAACAAATTCATAACAAGGAGATCAAAGGGGCTGAATGCAGAACAATGTAGTAAAAAAATACATTCCCAAAACAAATTCATAACAAGGAGATCAAAGGGTCACGTTAACAAATATAAATTAGAACTACGATCCCATATTCCAGGACTAGAGCATAAATGATAGGTGAGAAGGGTCACGTGAACACTCAAACGGAACTTAGACAGGGTAAAGTAAATCAAGAAACCACATTTTTCTTCCTCTTTTTAGGGTAAGAACATAATCGATAAGGTCACTCGGGTTCGAACTCATGGCCTGTCATTTCAGCCAGGAACTTCTCATACACGGAACGAGGGCGACCCGTGAAAGTACATCGGTTTACCAACATACCAGATGAATTGATGAAAGAATCAATAAACCAAGATACCATAACCATCAAACCTGCACACATTCCTGGACTATACAATTTCTCTGACAATACAACCAACTACATAATACCTCCATCCATATCTGATGGTTTTACTCTTCTTTATTAAATGTCCCAAAATGCTTATTGTGATTAGGAAGGAGTGTAGTTGGATGGTCAGGATGTATCTAAATCTAGTGTGTCTATCAAACTTTTGCCATTTTATATCAACTACTTCTTTGAGTATCCTGCATATACATTTAAGCTCTGAAACAAAATTCAATTTCCTTGGGATCTCTACATTAATATTCCCAAAACCAAAATCTCTACATAAACATACCTTCAGCTTTTAGTTTGAAATCAGAAAACTTCTGATTATCCTGTACAGTTTCAATTTTAGAATTTGGCCCATACGAATGCATCCGTTTATCAATTGACAAGCCCTCAGAATAATTTAAATAACCACGTCTTGAACCGTCAACGGCTTCATCTTTTGAATCCTCACCAGCAAACGGCAAATCTTCTCTACTGTCTGCTCGAACAAGTCACATCCAACAGGAGTTAAAAGTAAATCAGGTATAACATTTGCATAATAAGACATTAACATGGAATGTGGACAGTACCAAGTTTGTTTTGTCTCGACTGCACCAAATCAGTTGAAATCCGTCCAACCGATCCATCTTTTGTGATCTGAGGTGCACCACTACTCACAATATCGCCCTTATCTATTCCTTTCAAAATAGCCTACCAAGGAAGTAAGCCATTAATCTGAATGCAGCTAACACAAAGAAAGTTCTCTAAAAATAAAATGAATTGCAAATTACCAATTCTTCAGGAGCAGGGGCACAAAATGCCAACGGCTCTAATGGTTCTTCCTGTGTAAGAGAAGGAATCTGTACAATGCCATCTAATACTTTCCCACGTGATTTCATGTCAGTTATCCTGTACACATCGAGCAATTTTGTCCTGTTGTATCTCAGAGGGGAAGGCCCTCCATGACCACTTTCACCCTTTTCGGAGAAAGATCCCAACGACTGCAAGTGTGTAGAAATACTGTTTATAGAGCTTCCTACAAAACTAGCCCTGCCCCGACCAAAAGAAAAGGTAGGAAGAGCATTTTCCCCACGCCCCCGACCATGGACAAACGTAGGAACCTGTTTGTTTGGTGTTAAAGTTTGGCGATGAGGAGGGTCAATCTTTCCTCGGCCGTGAGAGGAGTTGGATCTCCATGGTCGATCATGATCACCTTCCATCTCATCCTTCCCATGATAACTAAGATGAGCCATCCCTTTATCAAGTGGCATGACAGCATCTTTATTAGAGTCTGTCAACTTCTCACGCAAACCATCTGTCTCCTTATCATCAGGCCCCCAACGTGTGTTCCATTTGCTCTCCCGACGTTGGTCATTAGAGGTTTCTCGGTTACTTGAATCAATCCACCGCTCGGTTGGACCACGTCGTACCTCTCCCAAGTGTCTTCCAGAAGAGTCTGTCCACCGATCCACCTTGCGGTTCTCCCCAGGCTCTCTATCTCCCTCCCTCCAACGACCCCTTCGGACAGATGAATTGGTATCCCGTTCTTCATCATGCCAGCGGTCACTGCGACCAGATCCCATTTCGAGAATGGACGGCCTGAAGACATCCTTTTTCTTCTGGGTATCGTACATCTCCTCACCAGTTCCCAGCGATTTCATGGTATCAGAACAATTGACATAACCTGCTGATGGACTGAGATGGTTCTCCTGTACCAAAGAGGAATAAAAAAGAGTAGAACCTCTAATTCAGTATGCTGATAACGAACACTGAAAAAAAAAATAAATGGCAAAATAAAACTCTCATAAGATGTTACCCAAAAGTTTTCTTGTCTGAAAAAAACACAACATAGTTATCAAACAATTAAGATAGAAGCAACTAGCAAGGTAAATGGTAACAAACCCCACTTACCATCCCAGTCTTGGTCTCCCCTGGCTTGGGCAGAAGCCATTGTGGTGAAAGCGGAATTGGACTGTCAGATCCTTGCAAATCTACATTAACCAAAGGAGGACCAGTTAAATAATTCTTCTTAATATGGTAGGCGCAAGTAGGCAAAAACATGTTTTCTTGGTGCATTGAAAAATGTAATATCACAAGAACATATTATATATAATGAGTACTATAGTCATCAAATTTGGTTAAATGAAGCAAACCTACCGATGTATCAGCAGGACCCCAACCAGTAAATATTATGAATGCCGCAGTCCAATACAGACATAGCTTCATTGAACTGCATATCTTCTTATAATTTTCTAATATGATTACTAAGGGAGAGATAAGGCGTAGAGAAAGAAGTTTGGAGTGTTTGAAGGTTATCCTGAGAGTGATTGAATGGGATTCTCTTCAAACACCTCACAATAGTCTGAAAATTTAGTATCAGATATCCAGCAGCAACCACAAATGTGCCCTGTTTCCAATGCAAATTATTCTAGTTGACCAGCAAGTATCACATTGAAACTAAACTTAGTGGATTAACACATAAGCTCCAGAACTAAGTGGAATAGCCTTCCTGAAACAAAATACTAAAACAAAACCGAACAGTATCACCAATGCATCGTAGTGGCTCCGCATTGTTCAAAGGCAGATAAACTAACCAAAGCAGAAAGCTAGCACTGATCAAAAGCAAATGCAACAGAAGGCCTCAAAATATTATTGGGTTTCATAATCATAAGGTTGAATATGTTTAAGCCTTTAATCAGGAAATAGTTAATTAGATGTGACGTTTTCCTGAAATGAACAAACATGAATGCATAAGCATAGAAAGGAAAGGAAACCCACAATATCATAATCCAAGGTAACACGATATTATACAACTTAAACCTCCACCATGTCACCTTCAGTCGATTTAGTTTTTAGAAAAGAACTTTGGGGAAAAATACCTCTACAATGTCATCTGTTTCCCTCCAGCAATACAGGAACTTGAAAACAATCAAACCCAATTTCTAATCTTAGTTATGCATACTCAAAGAGGAAATATGAATATGTAAAAGAAGGAACCAAATATAGAAGTTCATCATGGAAAAATGAAACAAAAAATGATTGTGATGATGATAGAAGTCCTGACAATCCTACGCAAAATCCAAATACTGGAACCAAACTCTATTGAAGATTTACTTGACACTACAAAGCAAAACAAAGAAATAGTTAAAACTTTCAGGACAGTAATATCCATGCTCCATACAAAATTAAGGCAAGTCTTTGTCGGGCCATATAACCAGTATGCCCCCACAAAGACTCTGTTCCATCAGATAGGTGAGTCCTTATGCACCATCGAAGGCACATCCCCACAATATTTTCTCTTCACATCACAATTACATTCCTTTATACTCTACCTAAGTTACACTACAACAATTACAGATCATACAGAACTCACTAAAAACACAAGTACAAAAAATTTCCATGCCGGCTACACCACTCCATTCGCAACAAGAAGTCTATAGATCGAGCCGCATAGGTTCACAGATATAAAATTTCCACAGTGACTACATAGCTGATTACCCACACTATGTGAAGTGTACAAAATTTATTGGTTATTGATGTGAACACAAAAATAATCAAAATAAGCATGAGCCTCCTTTCTTGTACATGAAAATGCACTTTAAGGGCAGATACTGAGAAAAACTGCAATATGGACAATACATGGCACACGGGAAACTACTTCATCCAAATAGGTGCTACAAAGTGCCGTCACTTACGTATAGCACTCGCCGCAATGGAGATCAGCGGTAAGATTTTCATAGAAAAATAAAAACCCGAAAACTGAAAGTTGCGCTAACATCACCAAGCAAGAATAGACTCCTCATTTGGGTCTTCGGGAAAAAATAAATTTGCACAAAAAAGAAACGCAAGAAAATTATAAAGCATTTACGTTGCTTTTTCTCCAGCGTCTCCAAGAACAAAACGGAGCTTAAAGAAAACCCTAAACCCACTGTCTTTTCTCATGTACAAAAAATGAAAAAAAAAAAATTTGCCTTCAATCTCCACAATAAAGCTAGGGTTTTACACAAGGCAGCAGTCACTCACTCCAAGAATTAAAGTACGAATGCATAAAATAAAGAATCGACCAAGAAATTCAAAATTCAAAATTATCATAACTACAATGAGATAGGATTTTTACCTTTGGAGATCTGGTTCGGGCGAAAATCGAAGTCGGTCTTATCAGCCATGGATGATCAGAGAGAGAGAGAGAGAGAGAGAGAGATGGAGAGCTCGGAGACGCCAAAAAAGCCGTTTCGGTGCTGTTTTGATTGCCGGTAATGAGAGAAGACGCAAGGAGAGGGCAAATATAGGGTAAGGGCAAAGTGAGGATAAAAGAAAAGAAGGTTGAGGTTAAGAACGTGTGACCAGCCGGCTCACGTTAGCGAAGCCATAAGTTTAATGACAGCCCTTTGGACGAATTCTCATGATTATCACTACACTTATCCCCATGCGCAATCGGCAAACGTGAATACCCTGTAACTTTCGAAATGACAAAATTGGCCTCTAGTATGGGCTTGTTTTGTGGTAGTGTGATACACTCGTATGCGGCGCAACTGGTTATGCGGTTGTTTGGATGGCAGGATACAGTGATTTAATGGCGTGTCATGCACGGGTTGATCGTGGTGGTGACGAGTTTCATGGTTCCGCAACCCTAGCTGCTGAGTATAAGGGAGAATTATAATTTGAACCCTGAAAAAATTTTAAAATTTTATTTTGTACTCTCAAATATTAAATTTCTTATATTATATATTTAAAATATTACAATTATTAAATTTCTTATATTATATTTAAAATATTACAATGTTACCTCTATGTTAATTTCCGTTGTTCATTTTAACTACATAAATAAAGTAATTTTTATCAGAAATAAATAACGAAGCAAAACTTTTAATGCATTAAATTATAATACGAAAAAATTAATTTTTAAAGATATAAAATAATTATTCTTAAAATCATTTATACATATTTATTCTTCACTAACCAACCTCAGCAACATTTGGTCATTGGGTTATAAACAGAAGTACCTAATAATAAAATATAACGTTTTTCATAGAATATTGCAAACAAATTAAATTAGATTTTTGGGTTAAAAAAATAACATTCATTGGTTTTCATCGTCTATGAGAGAGAGAAAAAGATATATATATATATATATATATACTAATAAAAGTACCTTAAATAAAAAAAATTTAATTTATTATTTTATCCTTATAAAAGAATTTTAAGTACCACATTATCTTTTCATAGTTGAATATCTAAATTACAATCACAATCTATATATTTAAATCTTTAACTTATCCTCTAATATCTCTTTTAATTCTTTATGTATAAATATTAATATCTATGAAAAATTTTAATTGACTACGCAACCCTTAAAAAAATATATGCATCATTATAGTTTTCAATAAAGTGTTCAAAAAGTCTATTAATAGATCATTACTCTTTTCAAATAAAAAAATAACATTATATCTATATAAATGTATTTTTTTCTCATCTATACCACTAATAAAAGTATCTTATAATGAAAATTTTTTGATTCACTATTTTACTCTTATAAATAATTTTAAATACCACACTATATTTCCGTAATTGAATAGCTAAATTACCATCAAGTATTTATGTGTTTAAATCTCCAAATTACCCCTATCGTCTCTTTTAATTCTCTATTCATTATGTATAAATATCAATATTTATGAAATTTTTTAATTGACTACGTTACCCTTAAAAAATATGGGCATTACTATAATTTTCAATAAAACGTTTAAAAAATCTTCAAAAATTTCGTCAATATAACATTACTCATTTGAAATATAAAGATAACTGTATGTTTATATATGTGTATTTTTTTTTCAAAATTTCATAAAATAAAAAATAATATTTTATGCAGATTTTTTTTTTAAATAATTTATGTTAAATCAACATAATTCTTCAATTACAATAAACTTTTCATGTTTTATTAACAGTTTATATAAAAACAATTATAGTGTATTTTTAAGTAAAATTTGAATTTTAGAATTTTAATATTCTTCTAAAATAAATATTATGAAGTAGTATATTATATTTTAAGATTAATAGTACGTTTATTTCATGAAATATGCATGTTTTATCAGTTTGGTCCTCATTGTATCAATTTTGTCAATTTTATCTCTAAAGTATTTAGTTAGTGTTTAAAGATCTATACACAAGCAATCCAAGTTTTTGACAAAAGTAATCACGTGTTGGTCACGTGATACTATATAACAAAATGACACGTGGTCACTTCCGTCAAAAAATTTAATTTATTGTCTGTTTAAAAATTATTTAAACAAAAATTGAATATTTTATGAGCCAAATTAACAAAATTCATATGTTGAGGATGAAATTGACATAAAATGCATAATTTAGAGACCCAAAGTGTTGTTAACCCTATATTTTATCTCTATTGACCTAATTAATTCCTAATTATAGTATATATTGATTAAAATATTGACAATTATTGCAATTTTATTCAATGAATTATAAGTTAAAACCTAATCAAATGAAATTTTTTTTTCTTTTTTCTTGTCATAACAACTAATTGCTGAAAAACAAACAATATTTTTCAAATTTTTTAGTATATTATGAGTAGTAAATATATAATTTTGATAAACTTGAAATGATATTTAATCTAGATACACATATACCTAATAGTTTTTATCAATATTTTGTGTACGAAAATTATTTAGCACGTATTGCATTACTAGTAGAGATAGAGAATGCCTAAATAACCCTAAATGATACAAAAATAATTCCATGCCATTAAATTTATAATGTCTTTAGACCCTAAATATTTATTTCACCTACAAGCAAATCAATATTAGCCAAAATCAAATTAATTTAAAATAACATTACTGACATTTAATCAATCTAAAATAACCCATTAATTTTTATTTTTCAATTGAATTACAAACACCGTGTACTATACAATTATTTTTCCCTTACTTGACTCCATTGCCGAAAAATAAATGAATAATTGCTACAAAAATAAAAATGGTAATTAGAATCTCATAAAAAATTTGATGACAATTAAATTTACTAATAAAAAATAATCATCAATTTTTTACAAAAAATAAATAGATTATAATGCACAAATATTTTTTTTTCCAGAGTACAAATAGAGATCACATATTTTCACGGTGTACTCGCACTCACTTTTTTCGATGCACTCATTGACAAACACAAACATGATATTACCGATTGGTCTTTGGGGCAATGATACTCTTTATCTTATGAAAGTTTTATTTTCTTAAGGTCAAGAATTGCTGACTAAAAAAAAATGTCAAGAGTTCAAGTACTCTGAGCGACAAAAAACGTGATTAGCTAGTAAGACGGATCTCAAATGTTTGGACGAACCATATCCAAGTATCTGGTATGGGTTCGAATTTCTACTGAAGTATTAAATATTGATTTAACTAGTATATGAGTTAAGGGATCGATTCATACGCCTGAGGTTTGTCCTCGATTCTATTCGAACTCATTAGCCTTAATGATATGAGAGCGTCTCTATTCATTAGAGACAAGTCTAAGATTTCTTCCGTTAAAAATAAAAAAACTCACATACACAAACATAACCCACACATGCACACAAACCTACAAAGATTGTATGCATACATACACACTGATAGAGTTATATACTAAAAATTTACTTTTTTTTAATAAAATTTGTTTTATTAATTAATAGGAGTTTGTTTTTTCCATTTTATTAAGAATTTATATGTGCAAAATATTTTCATCATACTTGATATATAGTATGCATGTGTATTTTATATTTTACATTATTGGTAATTTGGTGTGTAGAATTCTATTTATATACAGAATAACAATTTATCGGATCATTGTATAATATAAATATATGTTCATAATCCTAAATAGAATTGGACACACCATCAGTATGATTATAGTGTAATATTCTAGCATATTATTTCTTGATTGTAAGAGACTGTTTGATGTCATGAATTATTGCGCTAGTACACTTTGTATATTAAATAGACTCATATTAAGGTTATTATCTTTTACTAATTTAATAAGATATTTATTATTATGATTGTTTATACTCTTAATTTCGATATATTTAATTATCATGTAAATATAATGATTGTCACTTTAATTCATCAAAAAATGATATTCATTATGACGACCCATATATATATATATATATATATTAATTATTAACACGTTAATTATGTCAAATGATTGCAAGCCAAGGTTTTGACTATAAATAGCCTGTCTTTGGCCTTCAAACAATGGACTAAAGAGAGGAAGAAAGGAAATGAGAGAGAGAGGGGGGAGAGAAAGAGAAAGAGATAAATTTATGAGATTTTTTGGTCAAAAATTAAGTAGTAATTTTTCTTTAAAATTTAAGTATTTGATTTTTGATATTTCAAATTTAATAATTATTGAAGTTATTGATGGATTTGAGGTACGAGGTAGTATACAATATACTCATGTCTTTTAAATCTTTTTGCAAATAGTATCCTTTTATTATTTGAAATTTATATTCCTATTAATTATTCTGATTGATACGAAATTTTGTCAATGTTATCGGATGATCTGTATGTTGGGCTAAATACTTTAGGATTGATTGGTATATGTACGAAGTGTACTTGGAGGGCATAATTAGTGAAATGTGACTACGGCCCTGCAGGGTGCAATTATGATTACAGCCCCGAGAGGTGTAATGGTTTGATATGATTATGAATTTTAAATGCCTAAGTGTTACTTATCATGTCACCAATAGGACCCGAGTATGAGGCTATATTTGATTATAATTGAGTTTTATGACTTATCGAATTGAATTATTGATTCTTTTATCTATGATTATCTATCGATTGAATTATTTGGTATTTGATCGTTCTTATTTTTTTCTCATTAAGCGTATTATTTTCCTGTCATATTGTATACTTCCCCGCCTTTAATATTTTTCAGAATTATCTCGGAGAAAAGAACCATAATTGATATTTGAGGAATCGAAGACGGATGAATCTTGATATAGTTTTTAACTTTTGTGGATTGATTGTGGTGACATATAACTCCTAAGAGAAGGACCAAAGTCGAGATATGAGAAAGTTTCAGATTTATTGAGGTGATATATACTTTGAACAGATTCGTTTTTATATTGAAGAGATTATTTTTATTGTTATTTGAAGATCAAAATTGTGATTATAGATTTATTAAGGGAATTAGAGCTTTGACCTTGTATTCGGTGATTTATATGTGGTTTATTGCAATCAATTGATTTAATCAAGTAACGAGTTCGATAAACCAGGACGTTACATTCATATTGAGTCAATATGTTTGGTGAATTGTGTAACGCCCCAAAATTTACCCTGTGAGGCATTACTATCTATAATCATTCATATAATAAGAGCAACTAACAAAATTCATAAATAAACGATTTTTATTCATCATCTATAATAATTAAAAGATCATCCAAAATAATTATGTCAAACTATGGCAAGTACATCCCAAAAATCAACTATGATCCTACCATGGAATAAATAATACATTATCTCAAAATATGCCCCTCAATCTAGAACATAAGAAAAATAGTTTTAAACGTCCACCTCGGAATTCTCGTTCCCATCAGATCAATAGGAGTTAGGAGTAAAAAGTTAAAGCTAAAATACTAAGATAGTATCAAATTCCTTCTTATCCGAATTCCTTCTAAAATATGCTTAAACTTCGGGATACTTCTTAACTTCTAATATACCTCATATTACCTCTTTCAAAGTTTATTGATCTTTCGGATTTAATAGAAATCTTATTTTGACTTAAAAATATTTAAAAACTTATCTAACAACCCTTCACAAGTTTAAACACCTTCGAAACTTAAACTTCATAATCAATTTGCCTCCCTAATATTTATTCCTACTGTTACAATCTATATGGTTCGTTCTTACGTCATTACATATATAAAAATTACTAAATAATTACATTACTATATTAATATAAACATGTGAGAGTTTAAAAAATTTGGAGACGATGTTATTTGTATGGTGAAAATTAATTATTAAAAGAAATTACGTTCTAGTATTTAAATGGGTTGACAATGTCCTATTGATGAAACTCATAAGTTTTGCTCATATCAAACCTTACATGTGGATTTAATTATTTGACGCGACAAATAAGTTGAGTGTAAGATTTTAAGTAATAAAATAAGTCAATTAAATATAGTTATCAATTATTTACTTAATCGATGAACATCTGTATTCTTAAATGTATGAATATTATTAAGCATATAATAATAAAGTGTTCGAAATATAATTTTGAAAAAAGGCTCAAGGGATCAATAATAAAGTATTTAGTAGACTAACTTACTATTAATGGACTGTATAATATTTGTTTTAGATTGAACATAGGAATCATAAGTCCATTGGAAGCTCGACCCTTATTTCTCCTTAGAGTTTATGTCGTAACTTATATATAGACGATTAAGCTCTTTAAATCAGCATTAATTCATTACTCACATTTTGAGAGAGGCTGAGAGAGAGAAAGTATAAATTTTGGAGGTCTTTGCAACCCACATTGCGTCTGGAGTTTTTGGCATTTGGGGATATACAGCAGAAGATCGTGAAGTTTTATCGAGTTGCCTTCTACATCTGTCTTTAGATTATGCGTTCGAGTTAAAACGAGATCAATCCAGAATGATCTCGAAAAAAACCTTAATTCTACCTTGCAGAGCTTTAGAAAAAATTTTTTGTATTCAATACATACTAGCTGTCAATAATTTTTGAGATTTTCAAAAACACAGAGACACCATATATGCACACAATACATACAAAACAACACCATATTAAAAGAACAAGGGAGACCACTAGCGGTGTACATTCAACATTCCTTGCTAGAGAATATGACTTACCAAAAAAATGATAGAAATTGAGGAAGATAGATGATGGAGAGAGAGAGAGAGGGATAGAGAAAGAGAGGAAGCGGAGTTTGGAAAGTAACAAGAAATTTCAAAGAGAAAATGACATCAATGAAGAGAATGGACGATTTAATCATCAACGTGATTGACGTGCAATAGAGAGAAAATCGAAGGGAAAAAAATGGATAACATTATTTTTATCAACCAAATCAGCCAATTTAGTTTTGACTCATAATTTTCTGACATTATCTAACAGATTATTGATGAATGTTAAAGCCAACTCAGCCAATGTGATCTTATCAGACGTTATCTCACCACTTCGAGGGCCAATAAGATGGCTTCCCTCTCACGAGGTTGACAACGTTTTATAAGATGTCCAATCAAAATCTCTCTAGGTCAAATTGGCCCCCACACAAATAGTTCGTGACATAAGCATTAGGTATGCTTCAATCACTTCAAATTTTGCATCCACTTTCAACATTAACTTAAATCGTTGGAGGAATGCATCGTAAACTCTTTTGACACCTCCCTAAACCCTATTTTACTGGGCTTAGACCCCCACCTATGTGTTAGATCCTAATCATTTGTCAAAAATTATCTGATATAAAATGAATCAAATTTGAACATATTTTCAAAACTCATTTAGCAAGTGAGTCTATCTTTAAGATTGTCTTATTTAGATGACTAAATTCATGAACTAACTGAACTCGTTCATAGATATATTTACAACACATATTGTACTATGAACAAATGAATCATAGATAGATCTTAAACACTAATTAGTTAGTAGTCAAGTTTAATCAAATTAGAGTAGACCACTCGAGTTGATCCCAAACTCAATTTATTTAATTAAACAAATCAAAATTAACAAAAAAAAACCCCACGAGCTCAACTTTAAACAATATATTTAAAACTCATCACAAGATGAAGTCAAACCCAACCTTACTTTCCAATTGAATGTGCAATCTCAAACACAAATTGGAATCAATGAATTCATTTCCCTTCTTATGGTGGGTGGGGGAATAAACACGACCAATTATAGCATTGGAGTTTTTTGTGAAGTCTAGTTCTGTGTTGATTTGGATGATAATCTGACTCAAAATAATCTTGCGTAGTTTTTAATAAAATTTTTTCTAAGACTTAGTTTATGGAGTGAAGGTTTGGGCCGATTAGAATTTAATGTGTATTGTACAATCTATTCCTCCCTCTTAAATTTTTGCAATTTCGTGGACATAGACAAAATTATTGAATTACATAAAATCTATGCTTTTTTTTCTCTTGTTTCTCATTATTTTATATTTTTAATTTATTATTCGATTGTGTGTTTGTTTATTGATTTAAAGCGTATCAAATCTCAAACATATAGCACATAAAATGCCACAACCGGAGCCACGAAGACACTATCGTACACGATCATCGCTATAAAGATGGCGGGAACTCTTGGCGCCATTATATACCCAATCCATCGTTCAAAGGCCTCATTTCCTCTATATAAACACAACCCTCAACCTCCTCGACATCAATTCAGTCTCTCCGTGAAAACACAGTTTATCTCTGTCCTTGCTTTCCAGTCCTCTCCATGGCCCAATCCGACCTGCAAAGCCAAGTGCTCAAAATCAACGAACCATCCCCAAAGGTTCAGAAGCTTGAACAAAAGGGCATACCTCGGGAAGCCTATCAAACCCCTCCTCTGTTGCGAGTTAAAAAGCTATCCGAGAATGCTGTTTTGCCCTCACGAGCCTCTCCTCTGTCTGCTGGTTATGATCTCTCCAGGTAATCACAATCAATCTCTTAATGATACGTGGGTGTATTTGATTTAACAATCCAATTATCAGTAATACATCAATTTTGTATGCAAAAATTTATCGGTTTTCACATTATGTTCAGCGCAATCGAGACGAAGGTACCAGCCAGGGGCAAAGCTATGATACCCACAGATCTGAGCATATCAATACCCGAAGGAACCTATGCTCGTATTGGTAACTCCCTCTTAATCTTCTCTTTAACTGTAATTACATGTATGTTTCTGGGTAGATTTGATGTATTGAGATGGGTTTATGCCGATTGTAGCACCGCGATCGGGTTTGGCCTGGAAGCATTCGATAGATGTTGGGGCTGGTGTGATCGATGCTGATTACAGAGGCCCAGTTGGGGTGATCCTGTTCAACCATTCGGATGTTGATTTTGAGGTGGAGGTTGGAGATAGAATTGCGCAGATGATCATCGAGAGGATCTTGACTCCTGAAGTGGCTGAGGTCGATGACTTGGATTCAACTGTCAGAGGTGCCGCTGGTTTTGGTTCCACCGGCGTTTGAGAATCCACGGATGGAGTGGTGTTTTTAGGGTTGAGAAAAATTAGGTGGTTCTGTTCCTTTGTCAGTTTTCATTGATGGGTTTTGTCATTTTGAGCTCATTTTTTGTTATCAGCTTTGTGCGACAAGGCTAGTTAATGGTGGAAACATTGTACTCGTTTTTTACGGTATAAAATTGACCTTATTCTATAGAATTCTTTTTATTTTACACTAATGCTAACTTTTAGCTTCTTTTATGTTTTTTTATTTATTAGTTGTCAAATACATTAATTTAGTGTCTAATTTGATATTAGTCTGTCTATTTGTAATATATTAGTCAATTGTCTAATTTGATATTAGTCTATTATTTCATTTATTAGGTCATATTATTAATAAAAAATATATAATATTATTTTAATTAATTGTATTTTTGTTTTTTGATGTGTTCATATTCGTGTTTCTTAGATATGTACACAATGCTCACAAAAGTAACATTAAGTTAAAAAAACAAGCGAGAACAACAATTATGTACTTTTAATCGTCTTTATGGGGCATGACTTGCGAGAAAATGGTAGAAGTGGAGGAAGATGGACGAGACAAAAAAAAAAAGAGGTTTGAAAAGTAGGAAAAAAAAATTTAGAGAGAAAAGGCAAATAAAGAAGAGGATGAACGTCAATAGAAAGGGTAATAACGAGGAGGATGAACGATTGATTTTAGTTGGTTTTGAGCGCTAAATGTTAATTCCAACTGTTTTCCACTCATCCATTCCATTCATTTAATTAAAAAAAACCTGAATTTGAAAGGAAAAAAAAGGATGACTTTCGTACCCGACCACCGCCATAAAGATGGCGGGAACTATTGGTGCCATTATGTACCTAATCTAGCTTTTCAGTCCTCGCCATGCCCAATCCGACCTGCAAAACCAAACCAAGTGCTTAAAATGAATTGTGGCGCGGTGAATTTTGCACAAAAAAATAAAATTTGACAGATCTTTTTTTTTTTTTGTGAACACAATATTTATCTAAAAGTTGAGGATCTCGAGACAATAGAAAGTGAAAAAGATTGTTTTTTCAGTCGTTCGCATGATTTTAGCAAATCGAGAAGGAGGAATTTGTCACTCAAGATAGAAAGTTAGAAGGATGTTGGAGTATTTTTTGGCGTGATCCCTCGGACAGTCAAATCAGTATGTGTGAGAGAAGGGTGAAAAACACTGTTGTATTGTTGAGAATTAATCTTGCGTATCCTTGTTTTGAGTTTTAGAGTTATTTATACCCTCATGGAGGTCATCATTACTGGCAAGTGAGTCCCTTGAAGAAGGAGCTCCCATTAGTTCATTTGGGAGGCCGTGGGCAGTGTTCAATCCTTGGACAGAACAACTTCTATTTTGCATGGAAAGGGTTTAGGCATTAAGTGCTTGGGCTTTCGAGCACTTAATGCTATTCTTTCTTAAGCTTTTCGAATTTTAACTACATTCCATCTTTTTGAGGAATTATTAAATGCTTTCTTGTGATTATTGTCCCTTCTATCAATTCTGGCTGCTTTGAGAAAAGAAGTCAATGATTATTGACTAAATTTAACTCCAAATAACGATAGTCGTCATTCTACTGTCTCTACTTTGGGGTTTTAGAGATAAGGTGATGTGTCCAGAAATAGACCTTGGGGGAGTCAATCACATTGAGAACACGTGTCGCTCGCAAGAATTCTGTAGAACCCTTGTGCCGAGGAAACATTGGTGCTAAGGACACGTGTCCAACTCATACGGGTCTGAAGTACCTTTAGTGCCAACGACACATATTCATCTCATACGAGTCTAACGTACCTTCGTACTTAGAACACGTGTGTATCTCATATGAATTTGAGGGACCTCTGACGTCAAGGACACGCGTGTCTATAAAAAGTACTTTGAGGAGAAGGATGTTGAAGACGCGGGTCAGTCTTCTGTGCCTCCATGTTTATGATGCTGAGAACATGTGTCTGACTATTGACTAACTCTATGAAGTGTCCCATCACCAATGAACCATCTCCAAAGGCTTGTTTGGTAAATTTTTTGGGAGGAGTTTGAATTGGTTTGTCCAAACTCAGGTTTGACTCAAAGATGAGATTTAATGTTCAATGTTGTTCATATTCATGTTTGGTATGCGCAGAAATATATGACTATTATGATAATATATTTGTATATAAATAACTATTGTGTTCCTCAATCAATTTGTATATATGAGGGTATAAATATTATTTGTATGTTAAACTCATTAACCCACATATGAAACCCAAGTATGTGAGTTTTATAATCGGGCATGATCGGATCGAGTTTCGAATCCTGGACTAAATGTATAGTTACTAAACATGAGTTTAAGGGGGTTTATTCTCCAACTCATGTTCCAAAACGCCCTCAAACTCATGTACCAAACAGGCTCAGAGGTTCAGAAGCTTGAACAAAAGGGTAGCAATCAGGAAACATGTCAAACCAATCCTATATTGCAAGTTAAAAAGCTATCCGTGAATATTGTATTGCCTTTTTGAGCCTCTCTTCTGTCTGCAGGTTATGATTTCTCCAGGTAATTGCAATCCATTTATGTGTATAATATATGAGTGCACGTTTGTTTTAACAATCAAATTATTGGTAAAACATCAATTTCTGTGTGTAAATTTTTTTGGGTTTTCACATTAACGAAGGTACCAATCAGAGGCAAGGCCATGATACCAACAGATCTGAGCATAGCAGAAAGGAACCTATGCTCATATTGGTAAATCCCTCTGTCTTTTTTATACGGCTAATTATATATGTATGTATGTGTGTAGATTTAATGTATTTTTGATATGTTTATATATGCTGATTTTGTAGCACCACGATCGAGTTTAGCGTGGAAACATTCGATAGATGTTGCGGCTGGTGTCATCAACGCTGACAGAGACCCAATTAGGGTTATCCTGTTCAGCCATTCAGATGTTGATTTTGAAGTGAAGGTTGGAGATAGGGTTGCACAGATGATCATCGAGAAGATCTTGACCCCTGAAGTTGCTGAAGTTGATGATTTCGATTCAACTGTCAGAGGTGCCGGTGGTATTGGTTCCACCAGCGTTCAAAAATTCATGAATGAATGAAGACAAGGCCGGTTAATGGTGGATGTATTGTGTAAGTATTTTATTAAGCTTAAACATATATATTGTTTATTTTTGAACTTTGAGTCTCGTAACTTAAGGGCCTGTTTGCTTATTGTTTTTGTTTTGTATTTTGTGTTTTTGTTTTTAATTTTTATTAAAAATGAAAACAAAAATATGTTTGAATACTGTTTTTGTTTTTGTTTTATATTAGTTGTCTGAAAACAAAGACAAAAAAATGGGAATAAAAAAAAGATATTCTTAGAAACACTGTAAACAGAGACAACACGCGCAAGGGGTGGGGGAATTAATGAGATCCAGATTTCGAGTCCTCTTAGCAACAAAACAACACTTTTTTTTGTTGAAATATAAAAATTCAACAAAAATGAATGGGGAAGGATGGTCTTGGCAGCATCTGATTTCAGTAGCAGTTAGGGTTAGGGTTGATTTTTAGGATTTCATTAGCAGTTAGAAAATGAATGGGGAAGGATGGTCTTGGCAGCATCTTTTTCTTATGTTGGGTACTAAAGGTAACTGTATGGAAGAGTGGGTAGATTGTTATGCTTCTTTACATTGATGCAGAGTCCGAAGTGGAGTCTCTCTGTAGCCATTTTGATTGCTGGTGTGCTTATGTATCTTAGAAATTGGAAAAAGCCCTCTACATGTATATTGGTCATCAGTTGATCTTTATTCATTGGAAAGAATATTAAGCTGTTAACAGATTTGCTAGAGAACATTAACTTAGATTATTTCTTCTGTAATATCCTTATTTATGACTAGCAATGGGTGTGTCCTATTTTTATGTTTGAAATATGGTCTTATCTGATTTGCAGGACCTACCTCAAACTTCCCTGGAGGCCTCTCATTTCCATTGATGGAAGTACAGTCTATGATTTAAACAATGAATTCAAAGTAAGAAAAATTGAAATTTCTTGTGGTCAATTGTACAAATCCTAGCATTTTGTGTGATTTTGAGATGCATATTCACTCTTCACCACATAACTTTTATCCATTCCACAGATTGTTAGGCATTATGAGAGTTGGAACATTTTTTTTCTTGAAGCAATTGGCTAGATATTTACACCCAGTTCTTGTAGGCCAGGAGGATGAAGTCTAGATGTATATATTACAAATTTCAAGCTTTTGGTGCTGACTTGATTTTTAAGTTAAAACTTTCATTAGAATATGCTGTAAAAACTATCTAAATCTCAAATTAACAACCCCATTTTTCACAATTTGTTTTCCAGGAATGGTGTTAGGACTTTACTGATTTGCAGTTACAGTTGCAGGGTTGCCTTCCCTTCAGTCTTGTAATAATCAAATTCAATTGCTGAAACTATGGTTGAGCAGTTGTCAATCGGTTCAACCTTTATGAGTATATATGACTTACATGTCTGACTTGCCAGTGAACTGCGTTGGATAAGTGTTGGTTCCGACTTGTGTTAGATTGTGCGGGTGTTGTTTGTTTAATTGTCTATGATTTGCAGCATTTTTGTTTTAAAAAGAGATACAGAGAATGACTTGGAAGGGGAGTCGGATTTCTTTCTTTTTGACGTAACTCCCTTACTGTGGCATCTATAACGGCTACTTCTTCCTCTTCTACACCACTACAAACTTGAGCAACTCACTCCACCCATGTACCACAAGCCCTAACCCTAAAATCCATTGTCCTTGGGGTTTCTTCAGTGTTGGCTCCCAACCCATAGGCACCCGAAACTTTCACTTCTACCATCAAGGATGATAACAAAATTTATATTCCACTAAGGTAATTGATTGTCGTGCTTTATCATGAGAGGAGACAGTGTTTAGTCAAGACTATATGCAGTGACCTAAAGCCTTCAGTAAGAACCTTATAGATTGCTTACTCTATTTTTGGTGCTATGGAAATGACTCAATATCGTCTTACAAAAGCTAAACTGGCAAGATCCATACTTGATACAGGTTGAAATAAAGTGTTGATTTGTTTAAAAACCAAAAATGAGATATTATAAAGCATATTTAGGATAAAACTTGAGGTAGTTATCAAACATGTTTTTTGTTTTTATTCTCATACTTTGATAGACAAAAATGATTACCAAACATGTTTTCTGTTTCAGTGTTTACCACAAAAGAGAGACAAAAAATTATCTCTATTTTTTATTTTTTGAAGACACAAAAACAAAAACATTACTAAATGACCCTTTAAGTTTATCTAAAGATGATTGGTCTTTAAAGAGTGTGAGAAATATAGAATTAGGGGCTGTTTGGCAAACGTTTTTGTCTCGTGTTTTGTGTTTTTGTTTTAAATTTTTGTCAAAAATGAAAACAAAAATATGTTTGGTAACTGTTTTTAGTTTTGTTTTGTTTTTGTTGTATTGGAGACAAAGACAAAAAAATGAGAACAAAAAATTTGTGTTTCAGGAAACACACAAAACACAAAACACGCGTTTCTTGATTAAATGAGGTCTCAACTTCGAGTCTTGTTAGGCACAAAAGACTCGTTCATTTCCAAAGTATAAATAGGGGTTTTTTTTTCTTTCTTCTCCTCCACACAGATCTACTATCTCTCTTCTCCACTCTCAATAACTTTTTCTTCTCCAGAGCTCTCAGCAACGAAGACAAACCAAAACCCTCTCTCTCTCTTGCTTGCTATCTGTGAAACCCAGAAACGAAGACACAGATCTACGCATATATGCCTAGATTTGTGCATATTTATGCACAAATCTGTGCATATTTACAAAGATCTGTGTGTGTGAGAGTGACGAGTCTGTATGTGTATGTGTATGTGTTGTTGTTGTTATTGTTGTTGTTGTGTGTGTGTGTGAATGAGTGAGTGACGGACCTATGTCTGTTTTATGTTGTGTGATGCACATATCTGTACAAATCTACACAGATCTGTGTGTGTGTTTGTGTGTGAGAGATAGATGAGTTTGTGTGTGTGTTGTGTTGTGTGGTGTTTGTGTATTATGTTCTGTGTGTATGTGTGTTGTGTTTGGATTAATTACCGATTGAATTGTCAATTGAAATTGTTCGATTGCGATTTAGAAATTAATTATCATTTGGAAATTAATTATTATTTGAGATTGATTGAATAGTTATTTGGAAATAAATTACTATTTGGAATTGATTGAATTGCTGATTGAATTACAAAGCATATTCAGGATATAACGTGAAGTAGTTACCAAATATGTTTTTTGTTTTTTATTATCATAATTTGATTGACAAAAATGATATTAAAACATGTTTTTTGTTTCAGTATTTATTACAAAACAGAGACAAAAATTGTCTCTATTTTTGATTGTTTTGAAGACACGAAAACGAAAACGTTACCAAACGACCCTTTAGATTTCTTACTTGCAACGAGGTACACTTGGACTTAAAAACGGACAGGAGAAAATATATAATCAAAAAATTATAGGTGTATTGAATCTAAATAGCAATTCTCAATTTTTTATTACGTGTACAAATTTGGTACACGTCGATTAATTTTTCATCTAGCTTTTGAAATGGAAGAACAAATAGATTGATACATAATGGAGACTAGGAGAGCATTATACATTGATCATATTTTACTAATTTCTTGTTAAAATAGAGAGAAGAATATGAAAATCATGTAGAAATAGAGATCCGACAAAAAAACACACACTTTTAAACGTTCAAACTTGTTCTAACCTTGTATGGTGAACGGCAAATGGGGCAAGTGAGTGTCCTCACCAACCAAGGATCAATACATTGAGCATGGAAGACATGGTTACAAACTGGAAATATTCTACACAGCTCCGCTTTCTGGAAACAGTCCAAGCATATGGCACAAGTCGATGTTTTCTTCTCTATTTTGTGCTCGAAAAAAGGAATTTGTCGTAATTCTTCAAGAGACAAACTTGAAAAATTTTCATCTGAATGCGAAGTCTCCTCATTTGTATCTTCGTGTTGACCAATTAGATCGATAACTAGGTAGCAAACTACCAAATATATGATAACAATGGCTATGAGGCAGACAAGAGGGATGGAGGGGAGGAGGTAGTAAAGGAGTAGCAGAGACCATCGAGAGAAAGAGGAAGACTGGAAGAGGTAGTGGAGGAGGAGGGACCACTAATGGAGAAGAATTTAAGAAAGCGAAACTTGTGTAGATTTGAGAATGGCCATTGATGGGCATAGCATAGAGTAGAGGAAAGCTGAAAGCAAAGTAAACCAGACATTTACTTCACAAGCAACAATTAACAATTAGTAATTATAATTATTTATAACCCCATAACTTAATTGACTTCTTGAAAAGCAATCCCAGTTGGGTCTTCAGGCACATGCTAACTTTTAAGAGCTTTTAAATACAAAAATATTTTGAATTAATTATTTATTTGACTTTTAAATTATACTATTTGTGTTAATCAAGTTGTTGAACTATGTTTTGTACCAATTTTGCACTTGAATTATATCATTTGTGTCAACATAACTCTTATGTTTAAATTCGCAGTTAACTTGAATCCATATAATTGAATTATAGTTGAATTACACAGTCGCGATTTAACAAAAGAAACGGGTACAAATTTTGACTAGAGACTCAAGTTGCGTTGAACTCTAATTGAGAATTTCATCTCTTTGGTGACATACGGATTTACCCCTAAATCCGTCAAATTTGTCGCCTTTGCAAAGCAAGTACCATTCAATTTGGAATTAATTAAAAATTACTTAAAAAGTCCACAATGAGCAAAGGTTCCCGTCCACACCACGTGTGCGAAAGGTTCCTATGTTTGCACACTACTACTTCCTGAGATTAAACTAAAGTACACGGGTCTGCAATAAAGTTCTCCTTTAGAGATTGAGCAATGCCATAAAGAACTTATTTGAATACTTAATGACGTCACTTTAATGTAATTATTAAATTTGTTGTGAGTTTTAATGTTAAATGGAGCCCATAACCAATTCAATAGTTATATTAAATTAGGTCCCCAAATTAGGTCCAAATAACATTTTCCTTAGGAATTTATTTGTCTTTTGAAAGAGAAGCAGATCCCTTCGAATATATA